AAGGCACCAACATATCCCAAAACATCATACGAAATTGTTCCCATCATCAAACCACATCAAACAACGCTAAAACCATCAAATCACATCGAATTCAAGCCTAAGTTTCTTAAAAACTTCCGAATTGCACTTTCGATCAAAAAGTCTACCAAACCTCGACCGAATGATCTGAAACTTTGCACGCACATCCCAAATGACATAACAGAGCTACTGCAACTCTCGGAATTCCATTCCGACCCCTATTTCAAAATCTCGCCTATCAATCGGAATTCGCCAAAATACTAACTTGCCAATTCAAGCCTAATTCTACACCGAACCTCCAAAATAAATTCCGATGACGCTCCCAAGTCACAAATCATCTCCCGAAGCTAACCGAATCACCGGAAATCACATCCGAACCTTCTAACTCATAAGTCACGTCCGATTGACTTTTCCAACTTAAGCCTTCCTTAAAGAGACTAAGTGTCTCATTTCTTATCAAAACAAATCCAAATCAATTCTCACACACCACATACCGATAACGAAACGTGAAGAAGCAATAAACGGGGAAAACGGAGCAGTAACACATGAGACGACAGGTCGGGTCGTCACATCCTCCCCAACTTAAACAAATGCTCGTCCTCGAGCGTAACCAGAGTTGTACTAGAAGCCAACCAACAGCTGAATAACCTTACCACGCATATACTCGGGGTGATCTCACGTCACCCTATCTCATATAGGTCCGACAACACAATATAGCCGAAATCTCACAGTCCATTTAAACCATAAACCATAGAACCACATTGCACTTTTCGAAATCATACGCAATATCATAACCTCACATCTATACCCAGAATAAACCCGAACCAGCTGTAATAACCCATACTTGCAACCTCAGGTGAAATCATATGATATACCACATAATCTAAACACTCGAAACGATAGCCTCTATTTACAGCAGTTGCCCATAATAACCAAATACCGATAGAAAACCTTTTTATTAGCTAAAGTCTTATTCCAACACTTCCATATACTGCCAACAACAAATAAAACACGCGGTAAACCGTAACCATTCCTCAGATCAACCATTCATGAAGCCACTTCCCTTTGACTAATATCACAACAGATTTCCGGGCCATACCTTGATATTATCTCTCTAACAAGCTACAATCAATTCTGTTCGTATTCATTAATGACTCTAACGATCACCTCGAATCCAACACACCACTCTGGTGATATGATACCTCCATACAGGCCTAAGCCACAACTTGCATAATACGCGTACCAACAAGAAACGACCTGAATATACTCAAATCATGAAAATAACTCAAACAAAAGAGCTGTACTTCAAGCTCATCAGTATCATCACCACACAAGGCTGAGACCCCGTCTCACATCATAGAAATAGAACACCTGAATCTACCCCGAAAGGTCATAACTCAACGCAGCCTCGCTACAATGCGCGATCCTATCCAAACACTGTTACACATGAAGCACCTCAAGTCACTATGATCAAAATCGACAGCCACGCACATTTGATGTCTGTAACCAAAGCAATTCATTACATCCACGGTGAAACCAATAACATATGACACACAACCCGATAGGCCATAACCAATACTCCATTTGCTGAGCAACACTCAATCACTCTTCCCGCTCGACTTCCTCTATGAATCTCAAATAGGACCGCACCACAAGTCTTGACATTTTCTATTGAAAACACTGTCTTTAGTCACATACACCACCTTAAAACACCTGAGTGATACATGTAGATTCTTGAACACATTAAAGCCATTCTCGAGAGTCATTCTCTCTTATTCATCTGCAAATTACCTGATTTAACGAACAGAACCACTCGTGCTTTATTGACACTCCGATACCGTAAAATGAGACCCTCATCCCAATACAACCAAACAACTTCCTGGTCTATGCACCGAGCATTCTTTACCAACAACAACTCTAGACATTCCGAAATTCTCATACCCTATGGAACATAATATAACCTTTGTCGAAATTTTGCTTCGCTCGCCCATCCTCGGCTCAATTTCTGCAACTAGAACCGATCCGCCAGCATACCTTGAAACGGAACCAACATAGCACATAACCGTGCGATCAGCTAATCAACAGCAACCTCCCCAACTTGGCTCGAAGCCATCTATCAGGACACATTCAATAACCCACAATACTTCTTACTCTAATGATGCCGCAATATTATAGTGAGATTAAACTCAAATCATCTACTAGTTTACGAAAACACAGATCATCTGGTACTGAAATCCTCTGCAAACCTCGCATTCATTCCCACATCAGCTGAGTCCACTCTTTTAAGCGACCCAAATTCTCAAATTACAACACGTACCTTTCAATTACACATGGAATCTTCTAACGGACACATAAGGATCATACAAATCAAGAACACTCCGCAGGAGATAACCCACCTGTTTCGCCTCAATTTAGTATTTCAGCACACCTTCCACCATCATACACATAACACAATCAATTTAGTCTTCCCGAGTCTGAACTCATACCGCCACACGTAATGCATTTCACTCCCAACTAGGAGATACAAAAATATTTTTCACGCGCCCATAATTCGGGCTACACATCAAATCACAATAGGAAACGAATCACTTAACAGTTCATCTATTATCCAACAGACTTCTTCGTCACTACCAAGTCATATAATTACATCTCGTAGTACTAACATACTCATCACATGAATACCAAACCGCCATTCTAGCTAATAGGGGCAATACTGAACATATAAGTTCAAAACACTTGCTCACACAATCAGCACCTCGGTGCTCAAGCCATAGGCAAGGATCCGGCCTCAAGTCCTCCAGACTGGCCAAACATAACACGAAGATCACATCTCGCCCCTCGATCGGGGAATCACAAACCATCAAGGCACATATAATACTGAGCGCTCACATGCGCATACAGACGTGTGGAAAGAATTTCAAGAGTTATATCTCAAGCTGAATCAAGTACGCACGATAAGAACTCCAAGAATGGGAAGTTTTCCTAAAGGTTCTGCAGCCTCTCGAGGATACATACAGACGTCTCCGTACCGATCCGCGAGACTCTACTAAACCTGCTCATGACTCGTGAGACCTAGTAACCTAGGCTCTGATTTCATTGGCATTCATGCTACTTCTTGCACTGTTTACCAGACGCCCTGGTGTTAATTGTTAGTGGAGTGCTGTGCCCGAGGGGCTGACTTATGTGCGGACTTGCATTATCTGAATACGCATTCATTTGCTTGACTGTTGTAAAAGGATATTTTCAAAAGAGGTTTTTAAACTGAGCCAGATATTTTCTAAAGGATTCTTCACGGTCTTACTGTTTTCTAAAAAGGGTTGTACTGTCCTATATAGCATGATGGAGTGCTCTTACGTGATTTCTTGCCTCTCAGTTATTATTTACTCTTATTACCACTGAGTTGGAAGTACTCACTTTACTCCCTGCACCATGTGTGCAGATTCAGGTGCTCAACCTAAATTCTTCCGAGCCTAACTCAAGCTAACTTAGGTAACTACATTCAAACCTCTCTATATCAGTCACGTTTGTTTAGATATTTTTTAGATGTTACTGTGAAGCTCTCTTATAAAAGACATATATTATAACATAACATAAAAAATCAGCTCCGAGAAAAATTTGGCTTTTATAATGAATGATTGTTATATAGGAATGCTGTTATAGAAGGGTCTAACTGTACTTATTTTGAGACTCAAACTTGACTTAACCAGACCGTAACTTAGATACATCACTTCGATGATAATATTCACAATATATATAAATTAGATATATTTTTTAAAAATTATTTATATATCTGATAGACTGATACTATTTAAAGATAAAGCAAATAAAGTTATCAATTTGGGACAAAACTAAAGTCTTAGAGCCTCTAAAGCTCCAAATTCAGATTTACATAAACGTCGAGTTTTAATAATAGTCCAATATTATTGCGTAAAATTCTGGTTGCGCCACTGAAATAAACAATTTTCAATTAACTAAGTTGACTGAGCAATGTAATTATGTAAATGAGAGGGAAATGCAAAACTAAGAAAACAAATTAAAACCTCTATATAAATTGACAGCAGGAATTGACTCATGAGATGGCTTTTGGAAAAATGATAAAAAGTTAAAATTCCATTAGAAACACAAAGGAGAAATGTTAGGACAAAAACTTAAGATGAAAACCTTCACTTTTTCAAAATCTATCTTCTATCATATCAAATTATAAACAAAGTAAACTAGATGCGAAAACTTACACGAGTTCAAGAGAACAGGCGAAATTCTTCAATCTTGCGATTTTTTGTAACGATAGGATATCTTGACGTCTGATTTGGGACCGTATCCTTATTTATGATTACACATCGTTTTTTTATATCTAATCTAGTATGTCATTAAATAGAAATTACATTAGAGTATTTACACATAAAAGGTTATACATTAAAGTGTCTTATACCCATTCAACTTTAAACCCTAGCATAACACTTTTAATTTAGGCCAACCTTTTAATTAACGATAGCAATTGACATACAATTATAGAAAAAGGCATCAGCCACCGATCGGAGATTTTCTGTTCGGTCGCTTTATCTGCCGTCGGAAAGGTATAGTCGGCGAGCATCACCCATCCATCATACTGTGATTCTTGGTTGCAGAGACGTTATTACTCTATTGTCTATTCACTGATTCTTTACAGGACCCATTCTTCAAGCTTTCCAGATAAATTAGAAGGTGGATTTGACAGAGATAGAACATTATTTGAGTCTCACAGTAACTTCTAATTTAAAATTTTTTACCGGTTCAACTTAAATTTTTATTTTCAATTTGTAATTAAATTTTAAGAAAATCAATCTGAATTCTCATGGAAATACAGTATTTGACTGGAAACAAATCAAGATCCGATAGATTGAGAAAATCCTAGACGATCAAGACCCGATTCGACTGAGAAAATCAGGAAGAACAGTACTGTAGGATTTCCGATACACTTTGTGGATCTGTTGGATTACCTCAAGATTTGGGTTCTTCTACCGTGCGGCGAAATCTGATTCTCACCGTCCTCGCCGTCTGTCACTTCTCCGATTCTCTCTGTACACTTCCTTCAGTATTGTCACCAATCCGGCACGTTTACCAGCAAGGAAGCTGCCGCCCTTACTCCAGTACTGCTGAATCTTGTCCAATCAAACGCCGCCGGCGATCGGAACCTTAGAATAATTAGTTCATCAGTGATCGGTATCCTCCAATCCATCATTTTTAGTGATCTCGAAAGATATAAAACGGATTTTTGGCTTTAAGGGTAATTTGTAGAAGATATTGGTTTTCATTTCTGGGTTTTTTGCTACCCTATTCTCTTGGATCCGTGGGTGTTTGCATATTTTGCAGGTATCACTTTTGGGAGGTGCACGCGCATAAGCAGTAGAGTAGCAGCTATACGCCGGGTTCTGCAGCATCGGGAGTATACCAAGTCGAGAGTTTCAGGTTCTATTCGCGGGAATTGGTACCTCCCGCCTTTTGTTTCTCTATCCCCTGTGTTAATTACTTTGTTAGCGTAGTATTTCGTACTAGTCTAGTCAGTTTAGCGGGCTTGTAGTTACTATTTGCTCCCTTTGTTGTTTTGTGTGGTGTTTTTTCTCCGTTTCATTTTTAGACCTTCGTAGGTATAGAGATTGTGGTTTGTAATAGCAGAGTAGGGTCATGTCCTCGGGGAGGCAGGTGGTGGGGAGGGGGTAGGACAAGGGTCGGGGGTGGGGGGGGTGGGGGTGGGACGGGACCCAAAAAGGGTAAAGGGAACAAGGTAGCCTGTAGGTTGAGAGTTGGATCGTGGAATATAGGGACGTTGACGGGTAAGTCTATAGAGCTGGCGAAGATTCTCCAAAAGAGGAGGGTCAATATAGTGTGTGTGCAGGAGACTAGGTGGGTATGATCGAAGGCGAGGAATGTAGACGGGTATAAATTGTGGTTCTCCGGAGACGTGAAGGGCAAGAACGGAGTGGGCATTTTGGTGGACAGGGAGCTTAGAGAGTCGGTGGTAGAGGTTAGACGGGTGAATGACAAATTGATGACGATTAAGGTAGTAGTTGGAGGGAGCACTCTGAATGTCATTAGCGCTTACGCACCGCAAACGAGCTTGGACGAGGAGGTAAAAAGGCGCTTCTGGGCGGCGCTGGATGAGGTGGTGCAGGGTATTCCGCCTACGGAGAAGCTATTCATAGGAGGGGATTTCAATGGTCATATTGGGTCGTCTGCTGGTGGCTATGGTGAGGTGCACGGTGGCTTCGGCTTTGGTGATAGGAACGGGGGTGGTACCTCACTGTTGGATTTTGCTAGAGCTTTTGAGTTGGTGATCGTGAACTCTATGTTTCCGAAGAGGGAGAAACATTTGGTTACTTTCCGGAGTATGGTGGCTAATCTCCTCCTCAAGAGGTGTGATAGGGGGTTGTGCGAGGATTGCAAGGTGATCCGAGTGAGAACCTAGCAACTCAACATAGGCTCTTAGTGATGGATGTCCGTATTTTGATAAAGAGGAAGAAGAGGTTTGTACGGGGTCCGTCGAGGATCAGGTGGGTAGCTTTTTCTAAGGATAATACGCAGGAGTTGGAGGGGCGACTGACGTATATGGGTGCCTGGAAGAATGTTGGGGACACTAGCGCTATGTGGACGGCGACGGCGGACTGTATAAGGGAGGCAGCAAGAGAGGTGTTGGGAGTTTCAAAAGGCTATTATGGCGGGCACCGAGGCGACTGGTGGTGGAATGACGTGGTCCAAGGTAAAGTGCAAGCCAAGAAAGCGGCATACATTAAGTTAGTAGAGAGCACCGACGAGGATTAGAGGAGAGCAAACCGAGAAAGATATAAGGAGGCTAGGAATGAGGCGAAAGTAGCGGCCACAGAGGCTAAGACTGCTGCTTTTGGTAGGCTTTATGAGGAACTTGGGGGCAAAGGTGGGGACAAGAAGTTATTTCGGTTGGCCAAAGCAAGAGAGAAGAAGGCTCGTGACCTGGATCAAGTGAGGTGCATCAAAGACGAGGACGGTCGAGTATTGATGGAAGAGGCCCAGATTAGGCAAAGATGGCAGTCGTACTTTAATAAACTTCAAAATGAAGAGGGGGATGGAAACATCGTGTTAGGGCAATTGGGACACTTCGAGAGTCATCGAGACTTTAGGTATTGTAGGCGCATTAAGGTTGAGGAGGTCGTGGGTGCGATGGGTAAGATGAGTCAGGGCAAAGCGACCGGACCTGACGAGATTCTAGTAGAGTTTTGGAGATATGCGGGTAGGGCAGGCTTGGAGTGGCTGACTGGGTTGTTTAATGTTATCTTCAGGACAAAGAGGATGCCTGATGAGTGGCGGTGGAGTACAATAGTTCCGGTGCACAAGAACAAAGGAGATATCCAGAATTGTAACAACTATAGGGGTATCAAGTTACTAAGTCATACCATGAAAGTTTGGGAGAGGGTGGTGGAAGGGAGGATAAGGAGGGAGGTGTCTATATTGGAAAAACCAGTTCGGGTTCATGCCGGGCCGTTCTACTACGGAAGCCATCCACCTTATCAGGAAGTTGGTGGAACTATACAGGGATAGGAAGAGGGATTTGCATATGGTGTTTATTGACCTAGAGAAGGCATATGACAAGGTCCCTAGGGACGTCCATTGGAGGTGTCTGGTGGCTTACATTAGGACGATAAAGGATATGTATGATGGAGCTATGAATTGGGTTAGGACTGTGGGAGGTGATCAGAGCCTTTTCCGGTGGTTATGAGATTACACCAAGGATCTGCGCTCAGCCCGTTCTTATTTGCTCTGGCGATGGACGCACTGACACACCATATCCAAGGAGAGGTGCCATGGTGTATGTTGTTCGCTGATGATATAGTTCTGATTGATGAGACGCGAGGTGGCGTTAATGGGAGACTGGAGGTATGGAGGTAGGTTCTAGAGTGTAAAGGTTTCAAGTTGAGTAGGACTAAGACGGAATATGTGGAATGTAAGTTCAGTGACGTGACGGGGGAAGCGGATGTGGAAGTCATGCTTGACTCACTGGTCATCCTCAAGAGAGAAAGTTTTAAGTACTTAGGGTCAATTATCCAGGGAGATTGGGAGATCGACGGGGATGTTACGCACCGTATTGGATGAAATGGAGGTTACCGTCTGGAGTCCTGTGTGACAAGAATGTGCCACCGAAACTCAAAGGTAAGTTTTATAAAGCGGTGGTTAGACCGGCCATGTTGTATGGAGCTGAGTGTTGGCCAGCCAAGAATTCACATATCCAGAAGATGAAAGTAGCAGAAATGAGGATGTTGAGAAGGATGTGTGGGCACACTAGGCTGGATAAGATTCGGAAGGAAGATATCCGGGAGAGGGTGGGCGTGGCTCCCGTGGACGAAAAGATGCGGGAAGCGCGACTTAGATGGTTCAGCCACGTGCTGAGGAGAAGCCTAGATGCACCGGTTAGGAGGTGTGAGCGGTTGACTTTGGCAGGTACGAGAAGAGGCAGAGGGCGGCCTAAGAAGTATTGGGGCGAGGTGATCAGGCAGGACATGGCACGACTTCAGATTTCCGAGGACATGGCTCTTGATAGGAACATGTGGAGGTCGAGCATTAGGGTGGTAGGCTAGGGGGTAGTCGAGAGTTCTTCCCTCTTTGTACCGGGTAGTCTGATAGAGTTTCGTTTAGGTTTGTTATAGCTCTTTGTTGTATTCACATTGTTGTTTTGCATAGTTTTGTGTTATTGTCCTTTCTATTATTTGTTGTGGTTATTTTCTTTCTGGTATCTTTTGTTGTTACATGTCTTTTCTCTTGTTTCTTTTATGATATTATTGCCTTTCCTGTTGAGCCGAAAGTCTCCTGGAAACAGCCTCTCTGCGCTTTTCGGGGTAGGGGTAAGGTCTGCATACACTCTACTCTCCCCAGACCCCACTAGTGGGATTTTACTGGGTATATTGTTGTTGTTGCTGTTACAATTGACATACAATTATATATATATATATATATATATATATATATATATATATATATATATATAAAATCTTATTTGGATAGGGTACCTAATCCAACAAATTACTTTGTTCAAAGGTTTATAATGGATGACTAATCGAGGGACACCTCGTTCAATCTCTGAGTTTTTATTGACGTAAAAGGCAGCACAATCCAAGGGGATTTACTTGGAGAGATGATACGTTTAATAAGAAGACCATTGATTTCTTTTTGACAATGAATGGTCAACTTTGATTTCTTTTTGACAATGAATGGTTAGCTCGTAATTCACCTGGGTAGGACGTGCTTTTATACAGATGAATTTTCATCAAAGTCAGGTTCGTAATGAAGCCTAACAATGTGTTTCTAGCGACTCCGGAAGGATGTAGGTAAATAAACACAAAGGTCTTCTTGGATTTTGATTTCTAAATTTTTTATTTTGGATTGGAGAGAAAAATCTGTAAGTTGTTGTTTTAATCTCTTGAATGCTACTTCTTCTTTGAGAAAGTTGATATGTGGTTCCTTACTTTTTATGGTAGACAAGATACTCGATGAAGGGACTACCCAACATAACTCGATCAGTAAGGTCTTTTACTAATAGAAAGGAACTTGAGACTGACAAAGATGAATTTTCTAGAGAGGTTCTCACTTCAACATTGAAAAGTTTGAAGTTGAATCCTAGTTTTCCCCCATTAGAAGCTCTAAGGCCTTCTTTGATTTTTCAAATAATTTGGTTGGAATGAGCCCTTCTTATATACACTTGAGATATGCACATGTATCAAACAAGGCAATTGTAACGACCCGCATCGTTGTTTTGAGAATCTATACTTTGCTCGGTAGTTTGAGGGCTCGATTTTCTCCGCACGATGTATTATGACTTGCGTGAATCGTCGGTGTTGGTTTTCAAGTTATTCGGAATCGATTTGGAAGAATGAACTTCAAGATTTAAGCTCTAAGTCGGAAGAGTTAATCAAGTTTGACTTTTTAGCATTGGACCTCAGAATGGAGTTTCATCGATTCCATTAGCTCCTTTGAGTGGTTTTGGACTTAAGAGCGCGTTCGAATTGTGATTTAGAGGTCCATAGTTGAATTAGACTTGAAATGGCAAAAATTGGATTTTTGGGAAGTTTGATCGGGAGTGGACTTTTTGACATTGGGGTCCGATTCCGATTTCGGAAGTTGGAGTAGGCTCGCAATGTCAAATGTGAATTGTGTGCAACATTTAAGGTCAATTGGACGTGATTTGATAGGTTTCGGCATCGGTTATGGAAGTTGAAGTTTCAAAGTTCATTAATTTTGACTTGAGGTGCGATTCATCGTTTCAAGATTGTTATACGTGATTTGAAGCTTCGAGTAGGTTCGTTTCATCATATATAACTTGTCTGCAAAATTTGGCGCCATTTGAAGTTGATTTGATATGGTTCGGATGCTTGGTTGCGATTCTAGAAGTTCTTGAAGCTTACTTCGATCTTCATGCGTTTTGGCGTCCGATTCGTTCTTTTAGAGGTTATTTTAATGTTTTGATCGCGCAAGTGAGTTCACGTTGTGTTTTTGGACTTGGGTGCATGGTTGGTTTGGAGCCTCGGGGGCTCGGGTGAGTTTCAGATTGGTTTCAGAATGATTTTTCATGATTTTTGAGTGCTGATACTGGTGTTATCACATTTGTGATGTTTTTGTCGCAAATGCGACATTCGCAAATGCGAAGCAGCCATCGCATTTGCGAAATTGGGCTGCTGGGGAAGATTCGCATTTGCGAAGTGTGGTTGTTCCCTTTTGCGAGGATCCCAGCCGCTTTTGCGAGATAATTGTCATCGCATTTGCGAAGTATTGGGTAGCAAATGCGACCTCAGCAGGAAGTCTTCTGGTTCGCTTTTGCGGCAGATTGTTCGCATTTGCAAACCCCATGTCGCATATGCGACATCTGCAGCCTGCAAATAGCTGAGAATTCCGAGACTTAGCTTTATTTTGTTATATTTTGAACCCTAGCTTCGATGGGAGGCGATTTTGTGAAGGTATTTTCATACCAAATCATTGGGTAAGTACCTCCAATCAATTCTCAATTATATTTCATGATTATACATAATATTTAACATCAAATTCATGAGAATCTAGGGAAAAATTTTGGGATTTTGTCCAAGTTTTGAAAAATGAACATTTGGGATTTGAGAGTCGAATAGGACTCAAATTTGGAAACTAATCATGTATATAGACTTGTGGGGCTATGGGTAGTCAAGACCTACCCTTGGACCCGGGTTTTGACCGGACGAGCCCGGGTTGACGACTTTTTGAAAATTGTATAAAGGTCATTGCTTTATTAATTGAAATTATTTTCTCTTGCATTGCGTGATGTATTTAAGTCGTCTTTGGCTAGATTGAGCCAGACGGAGGTGAATTTGTGAAGGGAGAAGCTTAATTGAGTATTTAATTAGCCGAATTGGGGTAGTGTCTTGCCTAACTTTGTTGAGGGAATTTTTCCTACTATTTGATATTATTTACTACATG